TTGATTTAAGGCCTTAAATCCTATTAAATATTATTTTGCAAGTGTATTAGACTATATACGCTTTATTTATGTGTTTTTCAACGTTAATCTTCCATTTGAGTTTGATATCGATTTCAACCCCTAGGACAGAGGAGTTGTTTTATCACTGAGTGAGCGAAAATTTAATCGCATTATTTTTGTTTTACTAGTGGAAAGAATCAATTCCGTTTTACTAGGGTTAATAACTCGTCCGTTATTGGCGGACCATAGGTATAACCTTGCTTTCACTCCTTCTCCATTGAGTTGAAGTAGCATTCCATTCAGCGCCCCCACCGAACAGGGTGCAGGGAAAGAACACCTCCTTGAGGAGTACCTCTGTTTACGTAGCTTGTTCGTGTCGCTAAACCTTTTGATAATATAATCTTTCTGTTCATAAGCATCGATCGTGTCCATCTGCATACCATGTGGTCTATGTCGCCATTGATCTGCTGTATTCGCAATTAGTTATGGTTGTATTTTAATCTGCACGCATCTAAGCTTCCGCATCTAAGCTTCAGCATCTTGCTGCTCTCTTACTACTGATCGGCGTCGTCGACCTCTTCAGCCACCTGCAGGCTATCTCTGGCCATATCACTGAAGTGCATCTTAAACAATGTAGAGACGAACATCGATACAAGTTGACTAACTTGGTCAAATATCTAGAAAGTATGGAAAATAAACTGCGGCGGTTGGATTCCGAATTAAATTTTCTATTCAAAAGGTTGACACCTGCTAAATTTCTGAGTGATGGTTTTTTTTTTATCAAATATATAGTCTAATATTTATTGTATCGGTTATCGTATTCTATAAATGAAACATTTTTAAAATATTATTAATTAAAAAATTTATATTATTCTGAAAGAAATATAGGTATGTAGTAAAATTAGCATATATATCTAAAGCTAAATCTTCAATAATTATTATAAATAAATATAAAATGATAAGTATGACAACCTATATTTACATATAACGCAAAAAGTAAATATTTTGTTGAGTATTTAATCTAATTTAAAATTAAGTCTAAATTAGATATAGTATAAACATTAAAAAAATATATATACTGAATTCGTCGAAATTTATAAATAAAAATATATATTTATTTTTAAGATCATAACATAATTATTTTTTTATTTCTATGCAATAAAATATTATATGCAAAACCAAAAAAACTCTAGCAATATATATGTACAATACATATGTCATTCATAACATATTATTAAATTAAATTTATGAATGTAGACATTAAAAAAATATAAATGTATTGAATGTATTCAAAGAAGCCTCGATTTTTTTTATGTGTTATCGCTATTTGTTATTCTGTGCCAGAGAATTTTCAATCCTTAAAATCTCTTCATAAACCTCGAAATATAGCGCTAACAATATACACACAGTAAGTAGTTAAAAGTACAATTTGGCAACTACATACATATGTTGCGAACGAATCAATAATTTTATTTATTAGCAGATGAGCACATCAGATTCCAACGCCACCTATGTGCGTGGTGAAGAATGTGGTGTGTCTCAAGCCGATCACCATGCTAGTATGAGCACAAAAAACACCAGGCGCTCATAGTATAACAGTAGGCATACGGCTTCAGCTATTCACATTTTCTTATTATTGCTACACTTTAAAACATAACGAAAACAAATCCCCGTTCCAAATATCCTATATGTTCCTTCTTTCAGTTATTGATTTCCATAGTTAAATACCGTTAACTAAATCAGCTTCCAAACAACAATAATTTTAATATTTATTATTTTGTATTCCGCATTCTCACGTTTTCCACATAAATATAAAGTAACTCCAGTTTAAAGGACAACAAAAATATAAAAGTAACTTTGTTTCGTTTGCGACGATGATCGCTTACCGCTTATGAGTGCCTGTTATATTTATAAATAATTATATGATAACCCTTAGAAAGTGTGCAAGTGAAAGTCTCACTGAGCAACTCGGTGTGCATAACGTAGCAAAAGGTCGCTGCTTTAAACAATATAATAAAATCAGTTCACAGAGAATATCAAAAACAAATACATTTTCCAAATAATCGACTACGGCTGACAACAACATAACAGGATGATGCAACTACATTGCTCTTGACTTTGTTTTCCCATATTTGTTGCTCTCTCTGTAATCCTTCATTTGAGCAATGATTTTGTTGTTACTAAAATTGCAGTGCTAGAAAACAAAAGAACTCGGAACAATAATATAGTATAGTTGTTCTTTTAAGACTGCTGGGCACCTGCTACTCAAATGAATTTTATGCCCAAGAGTATTCGAATTCATCGGATTCATCATGATGGCAGAAGAAGAAGAAGACAAAAAAATGTGTGCAAGCATTTTAGTTTATTTTTACCCTTGTTCTACCAAGCGAACATAAGAAAACACAACTCCTATCGTCTAATAACATTTTCAACACAAAACACAAAAACAAATACTAGTTCCATTTATGAGATTCCCCACCTACATATCTATGTGCTCATGTGTTGTTTTTCTCCAATTTTTCTCACTTGTCATTTGGTAATAGCTGTTGCAATACTAAAAATTAAAGAGCAAAAAAACATTGATTATACATGTTTTTTTTATATTTTATGAGCTCCGGTTACACAGAGTTTGGATTAACAAATATAATAGTGATCCCGATCCCGGTGATCAAAAATTTTGTTTGGGCCCATATGTTTCACGAAAACATAGAAAAAAATTCAATTATGTTATCTTGCTACCAGGTGAACATAGGAAAGTGCAAGCTGTCACTTTTTTTAGCACTACAAAAAACAAACATTCGTTCTTAATCGCACATTCCTGTACTTTGCCAATATACTCTCCAATTTACAATATCAATGATCTGATTGATCTATATAAAAAAGCAGCAACAACCATACGTCCCAATTTCATGTAGATCGTTACTCCCGCAAGGTAATGCAGTGCACTCAACAAAATGCAATAACATATTTGTATTGTTGTTGTCGTATGTTTTACAATGGAAGGCGAACAGCATTTGTTGATTTCTATTGACACGTGCTCGTGCTTTATGTTCGCCTGTGAATGCGCTGACGAATTGCAGTGCAGATTTTTTCTTTTGGAGAGTCGATAAACCTGTCGCAGTGATAAAAGTAACCGGATATTTTTGATTTCGATATTTGGTTTGAGCAGTTATTAAAAATATTTATTACTATTTGCAGGATATTGTATAAGTCGTATTTTTAATTTTAAGATATATCGCAAAACGACCAAAAAAGAAAATATTTAAAAAAATATAATAATAATAATAATATATTTAATTAAATTTTAATAATAAAGAAATAATAGTAATAATATATTTAATTAAATTTTAATAATAAAGAAATAATAATAATAATAATATATTTAATTAAATTCTAATAATAAAGAAATAATAAAAAAATAAGAACTTTCAAATTAAAAAATTATAAAAATGTAAAATTAAAAATAAATTTAAAGTAAAAATAAACTTTTTTAATACTTACATACATAAGCAAATCAAATCCGAAATACATAATTTTATTCTTCGTATATTATAACTGATTTGTGATATTTATCAAGCATTATTTTATTGTTTATTTATTTGCATTTAAAATAATGAAATTTTCATCACATCCTGGTTTGTGTAAAATATTTAGGAATTTCATATAAAAATAAGCTCCTCCATACCAAAAAATAAATAAATTTTGCAATATCGAATTTTAATTATTATTGTCATATTTTTATTACGCATTGTTTTATTTTACGTTTTAAATATTATATGCCATTTTCATGTGATATATGGTCATTCGGCAGTATTGTTATATATTTTTTTTATTTTTTATTATGTTTAAATTTATTTTTACAAAATGGTATTTTATTTTGATATTTATATATTTTATGCATTTTTAACTTTTTGTAAATTTTATTTTATAATTATTATTAGTCGTAGTATCTTATTTATAAAATTTTATATTCATTTTAAGGTTTTTTAATTTTTTTCTTTATTTAATTGTAAATTTTATTGATAGTAGTAGTAGTATTTTGATGAGTTTTATTATTGTGACGATTAATAGTTTATATTTAATATATTTTTTAAATGATTTTTAAAACCTTGTTTTTTAAATAATTAATATTAATAATTTTTTTTTATTTATTATAATTTAATTTTTGTGCAACTTTATACATGTCGTTTTAATATGCTTTTGCCTCCTTTAAGCATTTTAATTGTATTTATAATTATTTTTTTATCCAATAGATTATAGTAGTCAATGTTTTCTTTTCTTGTTTTTTTTTTGTGTTATAACCTTCATTAAGAGAATATTCAAAACAATATTGTTGAAAAATAGAAACAAAAAATTATTTTCAAAAAATTTTAATATATTACAGTTCCTTAATTTCTAGTAATTTTTTTTTTGATTTTAAATAAATTTTGTTTTTAATAATATTTTTTTTCCATAATATTAAATATATTTTTATTTTGCAAAAAAAACAAAATATACTAAAAAGAACAAAAAAATTACTAGACCTTAAGAAAAATTTGTTTTTTTTAAATATATTTTACAACTTTCTACTTTTACAAATATGTATGTTATATTTTATTCAAAATATTTTTCACATTATATTCTCTACATTATTATTTTTTTATATCTACTTTTAGTATAGTTAGATATATTATATTATTTATTTGAAAACAAGTTTTAATAACTTGCTTTGTCATAATATTTTTTATTTGTTTTGGTGTCATTTGTAGTTAATATGAATATTATATAATTATTAATAATTTAAGATATTAAATTAAATTTATTTTTTGTAGTAATTTGTTATATACCGTTATGATATTTAATATTTTACGTGGATAACATACTAAAACAGTTTATTTTGTAAATTAAAATTTGATTTTTTTAACAAAATATTTTTTCTTTATAAAATATTTATTTAATTTTTAATTCCGTTTTTTTGAATTTAATTCAGTTTTCCTTTTTCAAATAAATATCAAAGCAAGTACCAAATAGTCAGCAAGCATTTATTGTGAAATCTTAGACAGATTAAATCGTCTTAAATATAATTGTTTCCTTTAATAAATAAAATAATATATGATTAAAAAAAAAGTGTTATAATTAACTATCGAAGCTTAATTTGAGCAAAACGGCTAAACTCGCATGCGAATGTACGGAAATGCATTGTAAGCACGTTGAATTCTTTTACTTACTCAAGATCATTGACACTCATTAAGAGAGCCGAATGTTAAGCAGGTTTAAATGGATATGCAAATTTGGAAGTAAAACTTACAAAAACTTCGATTTCACTAAATACAGTTCTAGCATAATAATTTTGAGCTTACAAATATGTGGTAAACAAGATATTGGTAGGTATCTTTATGTCATCGAAATCAAACTACATAATGCAAGTAGTACAAGTGTATTGGGAATAGAGAAAGAAAGAGTGAAATAGAGAGTAAATAATTGGTTTTAGCTTAATTCTTAATGCATGCCTATACAATTCAATTAAGTGCTTTTGAGTGTTTGCAAAACTTTATCTGTAGTATAAGTATTTAGTACGCAAATCAGTAAGCGAGTAAGTAATATTTACTGTAAGCAGTGATTTTGTTTTGTCTCTTAAACGCTATCACAATCTATATGCTACGCTCTTAGAGTATATAATGAGGTAAATATAAGTAAAGGTGCGTCCAGTTGAGCCCAGAAATGCACACCTCAGTCGAGCCAATCCAATCCACGAGTTAAAAATGTCCACTTTTCGCCATCCTACAAACCCCATGCATGCCCTTACGACTGGGCAGGTGGTGTACGTCCCTCACCGAGATGATAGTAATGGTAAAGTATCATTTTGCATCTGTCATATATGGTGAAGTAGAAGGCGGTCATGAGACCGGATTTGATCAGCGTCGGATACATGCCCTTGTAGAAACCGCGTACACCCTCCTCTTTCATCGTCAATTCTATGCAATGGAAAACGCCTCTACAGCGCTGTGTACGCCCGAACTTCGTACGATGTTGTTCGAAACCCTGCACCTGCAAGCGCTTCTTAATGAAATCCAGCGGGTAGACGACCGCTTTGGAGGCGACACCAGCCGCACCGCCTGAGCACAGCAACACCCAGGTGGGCAGCAATTCGTTGCGTGCCAAGGGTGTGCGCACCAGCATTTCATTGAACTTCTTGTAGAACATAAAGTTGAAGCCCACCAATGGCACAATCTGCACCAGTGTCGGCTGTAGGCCGCGAAAATAGCCGCGTATGCCTTCGGTGCGCCAAATCATCGGCACCGCATGCAACATATTACGATAGCCCTGTCCGGGATCTTGTGCCACGATGCGTGTGCGTATCACATCAAAGGGAATGGAGAAAATGGTTGCCACACAACCGGCAAAACCGCCAGCAAGGAAGTTCATCGTGTTCATATGCGTCGACATGAAGGGTGAGTCACGCATTATGGCGCGTATCTGTTCGTACGACCAAAACTGTCCGACACTGTAGACGACGCTCATAAATTGACCGGCATTGTGTCCCCTGAAGAGTCCACGTAAACCCTCCTCGTGATAGATCAATTTGCTGGCCTGCCACAGTGAAGTGTACTTGCCTTTTTTGTTCTTGGACAGCGGTTCGACCTGCAGCTGGAAGCGTATCTTCAAGACATCGAATGGCTGTGTTATAGTACGTGTTAAAGCGCCCGAAATCGCGCCGGCATAGATTTGATTGAGTTGTGCTTGAGCTGAGGTGTAATCGTCGTGTGCGGAGGTGTGATGAACGCTGCCCTCAAAGTCGGATGGCTTTGGCAAGCGCAGTTCGGAGCTGGCTGGTGCCATTGTGACTTTGTTCTTTGAGGTAGGCGGCAAATAAGTATGGAATTATTTTGGTTTGAGGCAGCACTGAGATAAGCGTTTCGCGTGAAGTTTGTCTGGAAGAAAATACGAAGAAAAATTAGAAAATTTGTGCAAGAAAAAAGTAAATAGAAAACTTAGAACATATGGTATATAGGTATATGTATAAAAAAATATATACTTATATATACTCATAGAATAATATTAAACTTGTAGGAGATAAGATAGTTGACACTCCTTGGCCAACAGCTATAGTCGGACCTTTGTGACCGTATATGATTGTTATTCAACCTCTACCAAGTCTCACTATGGGAGGAGACGCGTTTTGGTGAATCGGTCAATCAACTAGCCTCAACTATGGTAGATTATTTTTCTAGAAACTAAGAGCACAGGAAATGTCATTTTTTACACAAAATTTCAATAATTTAAAGCTTCTATTTGAAACTTGGAAATTAATAATATTTCAAACTTTGCTAAATGAATGTTGGAGGGCGTCTACTAATGGTATGACAATATCAAAAATACATTGCTATATTAAGAATTCGCAGAAGCACATTATAAATATTGAAAAAAATCTTATCTGCTTGGCGCTTACGGATAGGCAACTCATTGCCGCCTTATGCTTTGAAACGTTGCCTACATTTAGGGTTATAGCTAATTAGTACGACTTGGAGAAAATAATATATCAGATAGTAAAATCATTTTTAACAATTCCAAAAAAAATTTACAAAATTAGTCAAAGCTGAGTGCTTTCACAATTTTACCAAAACCTAGTGTGATCTAAGAGTTATAAACGAAAATTCCCCAAACATCAATACTCACAAAACATGCAATACATTTGACTTTAATTCCGAATAATGTCAACAACGTTTATCAACTCAATTGCAATCGTAAAAAATTTGACGTTAGCACGATGACCATCTCATAAATTTAAGGTTATTTATCCATTATTTAAAACATAAGTGTAATGTGATCGTTTTCGTGATAACGTATCTACAAAGTGCGTACCAATCAGGGCAACGATATAAAAGAAACAACGAAGAAAGAAATGCAATAAAAAACCTAAAATGAAATCAATCAAGCATTCTACGATACTGCCAAATAATATATGACCATAATTTCTAGCCGCAAGTTTCAAATGGTGTGTAAGTAATTGTGTTAAAGCCCAAGCATTGAGTACAATAAAAATGATAATAAAATTCATTTCAAGCGAAACTATTGTGTTAGACTATTTATTTTTATGTTTTCCTCTTACAACCCACAACACTCCGTCAGTTTCCTTTTGTGGTGAAAACGCTTTGAAAGCGAAACACTCTTATAGAATGAAACCAGACTACAAATGGCTGGAATATGATCCCAAAGTGGCTAAAAGAACACAAATACACGTGTGTGTACATAATACAAATAAATTGAAAGCAGCCGCAAAAAAAACACGCAAAAAAATATTAATTTGGTTTATCTCCATTTTTGTCTGCTGCTATGTTTGTGGGGATGAGCTATTTGTGTGAAAGTCACAGTGTTGACAAAAAAAATGTGTACATAATAATAATGGAGATGTTCTTTTTACTAAGGTTAATGCTGTTTATGTGTGGAGACGACATGCGTTTTGCTTTAAGAAGTAATCCAACTCAACCTAACCTAACATTTGTGTTCCGCAATATATTTTTGTTCGCAATTACAATAGCCAAAAGCTTTCTATAATGGTATTTTTACAGCAGACAGCAGACCTTTAGTGCAAAGTCAGTTAAAAACTAATTCCGATAAATTGTTCGAAATCTATTAAACATAATTATCGCCCAATCAGGGAAAAAAATCAGCAAATTTTTGTTAAAAATTTCACATTTCAAGTCCAAATTAATGAAATAAGTTTATGAATGTTCAAAATTGCAATTTTTTTTAGATTAGAAAACGGCTACTCGTGTAGCCTACAAAATTTTCTTTACAAATTCAAAGAAGTAATTTATGTATTGATATGAAAGAAAACATGAAAATTAATATGTTGCAATACAAAATCAAGGTCAGTCTTAAAATCGCTTATAAAATTACAGAGGGCTTCTTAAATGAGTCTAATAACAATTTTTCTAAAACATATAAGCAATTTGCTAATTGATTACATTAAGCGAGTATTTTCTTTTAATAATGTGCCGAAAGTAAGTTCCTTAGCTTTCTCGTCGATTTCCATTATTATGCTCGGTCAAAATTGAAAGATCATTAAGGCAGTATATATAATTGAATAGAATTGCCTCACATAAGTCTATAATTATGTCATACTCGAAGAGGCAACGGATCGGACCACTATAGCATATATATGCTGCCATTCAAACTGACTGATATATATCAAATACTTGTAAGCAAAATGTTTTATTTGTGAAGGGTATTATAGCTTCGATGCAGCTGAAGTTTACTTTTCTTTTTTTTGTTTGTTTTTAGGTTTCATCCACGGAGAAGGCCGGAATTTTTGTTTTAAAAAAATTACGGTGTATTCTTAAAATAATTATAAATATATCCTTAAAATTATATAAGTTAGCTATTAGGAAAAAAGTGTCTATTATATCGGACTCGGAATATAACTTCAGTTTACTTAAAATCAATGTTCATAAACCATAATTAAAGACGCGTGTAGTAATTTGCTGCCCAGCATTGTTTCATCCGCAAATGGTTCTTGCTCCGAACTAAACCGAACCATTAACCCGATTATTTTCTCTTATTTCATCCATTGAGTACACTTTCATTTTCTATTGTTTTTTCCGATTCTACTGCTTCACTAGCCTTTAGCGGCTTTAGCTAGTAGTGTCCATTCCTTTAGCGTTCACCGCGATATTGGACACAGCTGCCGACTGCCATTCCCTGGCCAAAACATTATTTTCGGCGAACCATTCACTAGATTATTTATGGACCGAGTGAGCAATGGTAAAATTAGAACAACCACAAGCACTGTTACCAAGACCATGAAGCTGCTACTAAAAGCAATAAACGCCATGCAGTGAGAGCGAAAAACTTGTACAAAATATATAAGAGAATTATTTTGCAGCAGCAGGATCAACGCCAACATACAGTATACAACTTTTTTTTTTAAATAAATACCTCATTCGCTTAGCAGCTCGACCTCAATTCAGTAGAGTTTATTTCAATATCCGTTTGAGGCCGCCAGCAAATAAACAAATCGCATTGCAGCACAAACAAAAATTCAAAGTTTTCATTCCAACCATTTGGGAATGTTTTTGCAACACGGTTTAATACACAAATATAGGTATTTTATAGCAGTATTCCTACTCCTCTTTGCAGAAGCTTGAATTTATTTTCGTATGTTATTTCATCATTTGTTTTTGTTGTTTGTTTTGTATCTTCCAGTTGCCAAACATCAAGTCGTTGCCTACACACAAAAATCGCAAATCAAACATGAGAATCGTCACATTCAATTGGTGCGTGAGTATGGCTTCCATCCGAGGACGAAGGCGACTGTCGAGGATGGCGACGTGTTGCCAAAGAAATTCGAACCGTTTCCGGAGAATATGTACGGCAAACCACTGGAGGAAATTGATAATTTCATCTATGAAGAGGTAAGTGAATTTTATTAGCAGTATATTTCGTGACAGAAACTGGTTAGATGATGAAAATGTGGCGTTGGAGAATATTCTACTTTTTAATAGCGGCCCGTTTGGGATCGATTTCAATTTGGAGAAATTTAATATACTCGGCATGTAGAAAAATTATGAGGAAGTGTAAAGTAGAAATATATCATATTTGAAATGGATATCATCTCAAAAAGGTTTAGTCCGTTTATAGCTAATTTCTGACTGGTCATATTGTTACTACACAATTGTAATAATAATATGGATATATTCAGAAATTATTATTTTAATTTCACAATTGATTAAAACTTTTATGAAAATTTAACTTATTAACAAATAAGTCAGATTGATACTAGGTTAAGACTAGTTGAAAATTTTTTATTGACAAGTATTAACTAGGGCATTTGGCACTAGAATGTAACTAGTTTAAATTGAACCAAAAAATATATAATATAACAAAATTATATTTTCCATTTTCTGTTTACAAATAAAAATAATAAATAGGTTATAAAAAAAAACGCTCGACTATGCTGAATTTGAAAAAGGGGCTTGGGAAAAAAATACAAAAATATTTCATAGAAAAAAGGATGTTTTTCTACAACGAATTGCTTACTAAGGCAGCAGAGGCTTTTAAGTCTATTTTTATTTTATTTTTTGCTTAAATACATACATATTAACATACATATATGTTAGTCCATCAGTCAATCAATCAATCTAAATCAAGTGACTCATTTGTCATCCCAACTGATGTGGCAAGTTGCCGTTGACATCAAGAAGCATTGACACTTCGTAAAGCCTAAAATAACAACGATGTTTGCGAAAATGAGCCAACAGTGATTGCTTTCTTATATTCCACCACTTTAGTATACATACATATATTAATTCTATTCTGTATACGGAACGAATTCTTGCCTCAAACTACACCTGCTGTTATTTATCTAGTCAGTAAGTTGCTGGCTGATATTTGCTCTCCAGTTGGCTGTCAAATATTTTGCTTCTCGATTTCCTGTTTGAACGGAAATTTTAGTATTTATCTTTGCACATACATACACACCTAAGCACTCAGTTGAAATGGTAAAGTTGGGGGAGTACTACATGTATCCATGCATATGTATATTTTATAGCCTGCCAATGGTTTTCTTGTACGGCAAACTGTGCCAAAAACATGACATGACAACCAATGAAGTTGCCAAACTGTCAACAAGCAGTGACGCATGTAGAATCTTACTGCTGGATAGCGTCCGCATTCCAATTGACAGAAATATCAACAATTGGAAAAGTGGTACACACAATTGACATGTCAAAGAATGGGAATTCTGTGATAAGGTATAGTAATTGGCCAATTTAATCTCATTGGTATTTCATGAGAATAATTTTTTCAGATTTGAAGTGATAGTATAGTAGTAATAGAAAATGAGCGCATTAAGAGAACTTTTTTACAACACGACACAGTTGAGTTAAAATTGAGACAACTCAACTTTTTAAACAACTAATGTAATTTTAGG